GATAAATACCGAATTCCAAAGCTGGCTTGCACACAGACAAGAGGGATTCCTGGAATTAGGTTCTTTGGAGAAGTGCAAATTTAAAAATATTTTTCTACTGGTTTTAGGTTCCACTACTCAAGTGTGATAAAATCCACTTGCAAGAAAGATGGAGAAACATTTTCTTCTAAAATCATTCTAGCCTGAAATAATTCTAATTTACCAATTCTAATTGCTCTTAAAGTATCTGCCATCCACCCAATCTAGAATGTTAAAAAAAACAAAAACAAAAAAAACCAAAACTTAAGAGCTTTTAAAATCAGTCTGCAAATCAAGTGCAGAAACTTAGTGTTTATAGACCCATGAGTGAATAAATAATTTTTAATTGAAAAACAGATTAGACAACAAACAAAAATAAGTCTTCAAGAAATGTGTTCATGCTGCAACAAGGAAGCTTCTTTTTACTCCGAAACACTGGAAGAAAATATAATCTTGAACATTTCTAAGACTGCATCACTAGTATTTTGTTTGTTCCAACAAATCAGCCAACAAATAAGGCCAGGGGCTTTACAAATATGGGAATGATGTCATATACTATTTCAAATAAAGGCCCAGCCAGCTTTAGGTTGCTGACAGTAAACAAATACTGCCTATTACGTACATCAAGTACCCAGAGAGTTTCGAACAAATCCCTCAAGCTAGTATCCAGTTATTTGCTATCCAGTAAGTAAGGAAGTGAAATGTAAATACAGACATTCAGCCTAGCAAAGGGAAGAGAAGAACAGAACACTCCACAGGCTGGAGTATAGAGGACTCTCAAAACTAAATTTTTTCAAGCAAATGAAGATCTAGTTTGGATATCACAAAATGCTTTTTAAATTAAGAAACTCTGCAACTGGTTGGCAATGATGCAAATGGAAACATCTATGTTGCCTGCGTGAAATCACAGTTTTTATGTAAGCACTGAACAGTAACTGTGTGTTACTGGAGTGATTAAAACAAAAGCAAAATTCATCCTAAAAAACAGATTAAATCTGAAATCTGAATCAACAGGAAAAATATTTTACACCTTGGCGGTACTGTTTTGAAAAGTGTGGGAAGAATCCACAGGAAAAAGAGAAGAAATTTTTTTTGATGAATCCAAACCCTGACAAACATTAGAACTTCTGAAGCAGCTCAAATAGAAAGTAGAGAAAAGAATCTCTCTCCACCTTCTGGTTGGTGATATACTATAATGCCTGTACTCGAACAGAACAGATACACAGAATCAAAGACTTGGACACCAAAAGTGTAAGGCAGGCAGACACTTCTCTCATCAACAATACAGTAAAATTGTCTACTTTCCACTCTTACTCTCCACCCCTAGGTTAAGGGTAGTGAGTTTGAATTGCCTATTGCATTAACGTGTCGAGACTCAACACCTAACTCGACTCACTTCAGAAAATAGAACTGACTATACAACCTGCTGCTACAGAATCCTGAAAGAAAAAAAAAAAAAAAACATGTGAATTGTACAAAAATTAGTAGATAATGAATAACTCCTCAAAAACAACAACTCCAAGCCAAGGCCCCAGAAGGACAATTTGAGTGGCAGATATAATGGGAAAGATAGAAAATACAATTTTACTATGATTTGTTATGCTAGCTACACATCAGATTAATATTTGCCAAAATCTGATTTATATAATCAAATCAGAACTATTGCAATTCCAAATCAGAAAGAAAGCTAAAGCTCATGCTCTTAACTCAGAAAAGCCATTTAAAAGAAACAATGTATGCTGTTGAAAAAACATGTTTCCTAATAACAAAAGTCACATTACAGATATTTAGTAATTCTCTGTCCTGATTTCCTACCGATTTCTGATTGAGTTCATCACTAAGCAGTTCATACTCCTTTGCTTTATCTTCAACTTCCTGAGATTTCTGATCATAGTTGACAGCAAGTTCCTCAAGGGCTTGTAGCACTTCTTTCACTTCTTCTTTAGAGGCATCATTTTCAGTCTGGAGGCGATTCAGCTCCTCTTGCATATTGTCTTGATCCCGCCTAGTAGATGCTAGAAGCTACACAAACAAAAAAATAATTAAACATAAGTTGTCATTTGAGTGGAATGAAAAAATTCAAATGTAACCCCGAATTCACTGAAGAGTTTCTCCTAGAGTATAAAGCCTTATTTAGGATCTGTAAGTGGTCTACTACCCTGTACTTATCCTCAGTACAATAGGATTTTAATTAACAAATGGTAAAAACTATTTGTCAGCGTAGAAGGATGGCAGACAAAGCTCAGGTTGTAATATCTGGTCTGACAAGATCTTGACATTTTTACTGTAAGTTAATTGTTAGTTAAATCTTGTAGGGGAGGGAATGGAGGCCTAAAATTCATATAGCATATCTTCCTGGTGAACTTTAAAAGAAGTTACTAATCAGTGTCATTAGAATTTTCTAAACTCCAAACTGACTTCAACAGGGCCAGAACTTTACTCTCTGTATTTTAATATTTCATTACTGAATAGGCATATGAACAAGCAGAATGGAGAGTTTTCAAAATATTGAAAAACTGGACTTAACAGTTTTCTAAAGAAGGGGTGGGGAATCTTTCAGGTTGGGGACCACAATTATGAGAAGCAAAAAACCCCCAAAACTTCATTGATTTGGCAGCAGAAAGAGATACTCCCCTCACATTCCAGCTCCAGAGACAAGGGGCTCCCAAGCAGGTAGATTTTGTGGGGCCCCACAGGCTCTGGGGTGGGGCCAAAAATGAGGGGTTCAATGTGTGGGAGGAGTCTGGGTGCGAGGGTGGGTGCAGGAGTGGAGTAGGGGTGGGGAAGTCTGGGCAGCAGGTAGGGTACAAGAGCAGGCTGGGGGTTTAGGAGTGGGTGGGGGAGGGAGATGAGTAGGTGCTTATCTGGGACAGCTTCCTAGGAGCATACATGGCTCTGCATCCCTCACTGCTCCCAGGTACCACCCCCCTGCTCCCATTAACTGGAATTACAGCCAATAGGAGCAGCGGGGAAAGCCTCCAGGCAAGCGCTTCCCTGTGCTGCCATTCTCCAAGCCAGAGGGGAGGGGAAGCAGCAGTGCACAGAGCTCCTTCCTCCCTCCCCTTCCCCCCGCCAATCAGAGTCCACGTGCTGGCTCCAGCCCGTGAGGCTCAGGGCTTACCCTTCGCAGCTGGGAGCCGGCACTGGTGCTCCAGTTTTGGGGGGAGGGGAACTGGAGTGCCAGTATAGGCTCCCTGATGCTGGGGAGGGGAAGGGGGGAGAGAAGAGCCCCAAGCCTTGCAGACCAGACCAGGCAACCCAGGGCCAGATCCAGCCCACAGATCATAGGTTCCCCACCCCTGTTCTAAAGCATGGTCATGGTCTTCTGAAGCACAGGCCTTGTCTGCACTACAGAATTTTGTGGAGGTCAGAATTTTCACTGACAAAGCAGAGGAGGTGTACATACTACAATGGTCCTCCTATTGGTAACTCTTCTACTATGTCGACAAAAGAAAGCCACTTCAAAAAGATCATAGGGCTTTTTGCAACAGAGTTAAATAAACACACAGTGTCAGAAGAGACACACCATACTTGCTTATATTACCCTAATTGGCCTTCAGAAGGTGTACCATAATGTCCATCATGACTGCTCTAGACAACCGTTTGAACCATGCTGTCCTGAAAATACACAGGCATGCGTTCCTTCTCTAAAGCAGTGGTCACCAATCAGTAGATCAGGATCTACTGTAAATTGTGGAACCTTTGATAGGTGATCCTGAGCGGTTTGGCTGGGAGGCTGTCAAGTGCTTCATCTGCTCCTCTCAGCACTGCTGTGTAGCTCCTGCCCTCTCCCTTAGAAGTGCCCCTCACCCCTTGGAGCCTCCTGCTTGCTGTGCAGAGCATGGAAAGAAGAGGAAGGAGGGTGTGTGTGTGTGGATGTCAGGGTGCCTCTCCCTCCACTCTGTACCCCATCTCTACAGAGCAGAGGGGGGCAGGGATGGAGTGAGTTTGCTGGCTACTGTTGGGCAAGTGGTGCAGGGCCAGGGTAGGGGTGAGTCTGCCTTAGCCACCTGGGGTAAGCAGTGCCCAGCTGGAGCCCCCATTCTGAACCCCAGCCTCAGTCCTGAATTTCTCCTGCACCCCAAGTCCCTGCCCCCAGAAGAGTGAAGATGGTGGAGAGAGAATGGAGTGAGAAAGGGCAGGGCCTTGGATAAGGGGTGGAAAGGAGGTGGGGCAAGGGTGTTTTGGGTTTGTGGTTGATCCTGGATTGCACTTAAATTCTAAAAATGACCTCATGCTTAAAAAGGCTGGAGACCACTGCTCTAAAGGGATAGGAATTTTTGAAATTCCTCTTCCTATTTGCTTAGTGAGGACAGTTCACAGCATCTTCCCAGCTGATCATGCCAGCTTTGTGGAGCACACTGGACTGGAGCTGCATTGCTCTGCTTCCTGTCACTGTAGCAAGTGTGGTGGGAGGGGCCTGATCCCAGCGCCTGGCACCAGGTAATCACATCACTTAGGAGAGGGGGCTTGAGAAAGAAGGGAAAAGGCATGGGAAGGGGTGAAACAGGGGCGGGAAGAAGCAAGGCAGGGTCTGGAATGAAGGAGGGGAGGCCTTGGACCCCACATCCACACAGAGATGGTGCTATTCACAGCTGTGAGAGTGAACTCAAAATATAGTCTCCATTCCTAGTTTCTTTGGCTTCTGCAAAGAACTCACTCTACTGAGCACTTCACACTCTACTGGGCACTTCAATCAGATAAGGCGGCAAATCAGAAGGAGTAAGGAGAATATGTTTCACAAAGTGCTACAGTCAACAGATGCAGCATGTAGCAAAACAAGAGCATAGAGGGAGACAATTAACGAGTCAAGCAGGATAGCCTGGAAAGAACATGGGGGCCAGTCATGTTAAAGTTCTTCTTTAGCCAGCAATCAGAGCATAATTGTGCACAAATGCCCCCATAGCCAATACAGAACTCCATTCCATACACTCCCCAGACACATACCTCACATGTTCCCAGCCCCTTGCAGTGCCTCATGCACTCCAAGTACTGGTTTCAGAATGAAAGATGAAGTTACAGTAATTGTGAGAGCTGTAAACATGAGATTGTTCCTCATTGCCATGTCCCACTGAGAAAATGTGCGTTTTATCCAGTTAAATTTCAGTTTTTTAAATAAAATGAATGTGTATGTCATACATTTTAGTTGGTGCTAGAACTCAAAAAAATGGGTACAGGCATGAATATTTGCTCAGTACAATTTAAGTTAAGAAAGCAAGCATGACAGTGCTTCTTCAGTGTGGCAAGTTAATATTACCTAGCTCAATGCATCATGAAGAGAGACATTACTTAGAATCACTGTCAAAATTCTTCTTCAAAGCCTTCATAATTCAAATAGCCCTCCCCATTCACTGTGCCAGTCTAAGTGCCCTGGTATCCAGCTGCTCAAAATTAGCATCTAGCTGATCTACCTCAGTGCTCCAGCCCTGAGGAAGCCTTTTCCCTTTTGTTCTGCATACGTTATGCAGAGCGCAGAAAACTGAAATGACCATCAGAATATTTTTGGCAGCACCAGCAACCTTTTAATTGGCCAAAGGCACAGTAAACTGTGTTGAAGTGCTCTTTGCTTCTGCCTACATTCCTGGTGTAAGGTTCATGAACCACAAGAGCAAGGTGTAGATGGTCTCTCTCAGGATCATTACAGACATTTCCATACTGTCCATTTGAATCTTGTGGTCTGGAAAGAAAGTCCCAGTTTACAGCTTTCTATATAATCCAGTGCTCCTTATGACGCTTGAATCACGAGCCTTTTCTGACCACCCCACACTGATGTCAGTATAATGGTGCTGATGATCCACCAGTGCCTTCAAAACAATGGAGAAGTAGCTTTTCCGGTTGGTGCAGTTAGGGAATCCCATTGCCTCAAAGCCATGAAGTATTTCCAGCACATTACTGAGGGTTACAGTCCTTCATAGCAGGAGATCAGTAATGGCCCAGCACACTTGAATCACTGAAGCTCCCATGGTGGACTTTCCAACTCCAAGCCAATTCATGACTGACTAGTAGCCGTCTGGAGTTACCAGCTTCCACACAGTGATCACTACTCACTTTTCCACAGTGAGAACAGCTCTCATTTTTGAGTCCCTGAGTCACGGTGCTAGGATGAGTTCTGTACAGAATTCCAGGAAGGTGGATTTGCACATCTGAATGTTCTGTAACTACTGCTTGTCATCCCATACATGCATTATGGTGCAATCCAATCCCCCAAGCCTAGTACTGACCATCCACTGTGTGCAGCTGCTTCATGAATGTCAGCAGCAATCTTAAATTATTTCCTCCCATGGGAAATAGCATGGCAGGCATCACAGATTCACTCTGATTTGCAGCTCATGAAATACTGCAGTACTGATCCTTTGTTTTCATAATGCTCATCACCAGACTGATAAGCACCTCAGGATCCATGGCCTTCAGAGAGAGATGGCAGGCACACAGTTAACAACGGCTGTTGAAAACTAGCGCAAAATGAAGTTGAAAGCCCATGGAACGATGGGACTGAAATTACTGCATCATGGGAGGGTGAGCAAATCCCCATGATGTACTGTGATCTGTTCCCATAGCTCCCAGAGGTAGAGGGTGGTGGTCTGCACAGTAACATAGCTTTCAACAATGCAACAGTCTCTCTCTGATGCAAGAGCATCGAGGCTATGGACATGTTCCACCAATTCAAGGAGCATAGTGGAGATGCACAACCAAAGTAATTAAAACTGCTTATGACAGCTGTCAAAATTTAAGTCAACTTTAGTGTAAACATGGCCTCAGACAAATTTTTAAAATGAAGTAAATCTGTTTTCTTACATAGGAGAGCCAGACAAGGTTGCCAAGGCTCCCCTTCTGTTTCCTCCTGCAAATGGTTGCATTGCATCTAAAATTAAGAAATAAATTCAATAGCTGAATGAAATTTTTGTAAAACATATCAGCTTTGTGTGGAAAGTAGATTATATTAATATTAGCTAATCTACAACTGTCAAAATTAAGAGAAATAAACATTTGGTAAAGCTTTGTTTTTTAAATACATTGTAAAAAATTAGAAGCTTTTGGTTGGTGTTACACAGCAAGAGCAGATTCATATAGAGTTCATAAATAAAAACATTATGTTATACACTATATCCCAGCCAACATATATAAAAGGATAACTACAGGCAGTCCCCGGGTTACATACAAGATAGGGACTGTAGGTTTGTTCTTAAGTTGAATTTGTATGTAAGTCGGAACTGGTACATATTGTACCCCAGGTGTCTCCGATTCAGCCGCTGCTGAAACTGACCAGCGGCTGACTACAGGAAGCCTGAGGCAGAGCTGCTTTGCCCCGGGGCTTCCTGGAATCAGCCACTGATCAGTTTCAACAGCGGCTGACTTGGGAACACCTGGGGCAGAGCAGCTGGGGCGCTGCCGATTGGTCCTGCAGCGCCGCTCTGGTCGCTACTGGACCAACCCTGTAGCACCCCAGCTGCTCTGCCCCAGGCGTCCCCAAGTCAGCCGCTGCTCAAACTGACCAGCGCTGACTACAGGAAGCCCGAGGCAGAGTTGCTCTGCCCCAGGCTTCCTGGAATCAGCGCTCAAGGTGGGGACTGTAACACAATGGGTCTCACTGCCTGCTGCTCCTGCTGTTCCCTAGGAAATTAATTTTTCCACTCTGGAGTGCCCCCTTTTGGCTGGTGTCTTGTCCCCCCCAGCAGACCTGCGTCCTCCACGGCGAGAAAAGCCGCTCCACGTCTCCCTGGTCTGCTGGGGGGAAGCGCCTCCCGCGCCGGCAACAGTGGGGGAGGCACCCCGCACTAGCTGCACCCCCTCCCCGTTTGTAACTAGGGGTCTGACTTAAGTCGGATTGACATAACCCGGGGACTGCCTGTACTTACAAATTATGTCACAACTCAATGCCTTGGAAAACTGAACAGTTTTGTGATCAAACTATGGTGACGATTAAAAATGAACTCACTACACATTGTTTATTTCCACGTTTCATATTCTTCCTACAGAGGCACTCAAGTATTTTGAAACTTCCTGAGATGACTTTGATTTCTTTATATGAATGGAAAACATGGGGAATACATATTATGCCTAACTCTTAAATTAAATTGTAAGGGTTTGTGACTCTGTAGATATCGACCGGTCACATTTCTCCAAAGGGGAAGCCCTAGATAGATAGTGAACTGTTAGATTTTGCGTTTAAAAACAGGAGAATGATTATGATGTGGTAATGAATAAACCCATGTGCTTATGTAGAAACTATCCTACCTCAGTGGTCTCCAACCTTTTTAACCACAAGATCACTTTTTTCAATTTAAGTGCAATGTAAGATCTACCCCAAACCCAAATACCCTTGCCCTGCTTCCTTCCAGTCCTGCCCCTGCTCCACCCGTTCTCTGAGGCCTCACTCTGCTCAGTCATCCCCCTTTCATCAAGCTGAGGTAGAGGTTCGGGTGCACACTCTGGTCTTGGGCCAAGTAGTTTAGAGTGTAGGAGGGGCTCTAGGCTTAGCCCAGGGTGGGTGACTGGGGTTCAGGAGGCGATTCAGGGTGCAAGCTCTGGGAAGGAGTTTGGGTGCAGGGGGACTCAGGTCTGGGGCAGGAGGTTGGGTGTAGGAGGAGGTTAAGGGCTGGGATAGGGGCTCAGGAAGCAGGCTCTAGCTGGGCACTGTTGAACTGAGATGGCTTCAGGGTGGTAGAGCAGCGGCATTAAGGCAAGCTTATTCCTGCCCTGGCCCTACACCACTACTGAAAGAAGTTGGCATGGACATCAATGGCTCCATGGTGCCACATTTTGCACCTTACTTACTGGCACTGAGCCCACAATTTCTTCCAGCAGCAGCAACCATACAAATAATTACTCAAGTCACTACAAGTTAAGCATTTTAGAACTCGCTACTCAAAAAATTAAATTTAAAGTGAAAAATAAAAATTATGAAATGCACAGACCAGTCAAAATCCAAAAACAACACACTTTGCAAGTAGTAAAAGTAGTAACAACCCTCCACTTAAGTGTTGGGTTGGGAGATGAGTGTGAAGGACAGTGTGTGTTTGTGAGAATGACAGACACACACAGTGTGAGTGTGACAGTTGCATTGCATCCCTTTCTCTCTGTGTGGAGATAAGGTACACAAGTGGGGGAGGAGGGACACCCTGACACCACCCCGCTCTTCTCCCTCCCACACCCTGCACAGCTGCTGCCCTGGGAGCCTCCAAGGCAGAAGGCAGGAGCAGCATGACAGTGGGTGAAGGGGCAACTGAAGTGCTAGCGCTTGATAGCTTCCTGACCAAACCAGTCAGGATCACCTGTCAGACCCTCCAAGATCTTCTAGTTGATCCTAATATACTGGTTGGGGACCACTGTCCTAACCCAACCGGTTTACTGAAAAATTAGTTAGGACTTAAATTTTTTCCCTTCATTATCCTCAATTATTTCTGTATCAATGAAAAACTCAAAGTAAAATAAAAATCAGTAACTCACCTCTTCCTGATCCAACATTTGTGTCTTCAACTTTTCTACTAATTGGCTCTGCTGATTGATTTCTTCATCCTGCAGTTAAAACCAGTAACCCATTGAACAGTTTGAACACTCAAAAATCCTAAATATACATTAAGAATTGTTTGTTCATCAACCTTTCTTTTTTGAAACAATTATCAAATTAAATACATGACTGATAATTCACTGCCTCAAAAGGAATACGAAAACAATACAACAGGCTTCTAATTTCAAGTGTATTTGTAGTAATTTACCTTGCACCGAACACTAAAATCCTACATCTGTGCATGTCATAGTACCTTCTCCAAGTTCAAAAATTAAGACATGTTTCCTCCCTAACTCCCAAGCAAAGTAAATGGGATGAAAATTCTCCTGCATTTAGATAAATTCATTACTTGAAACTATTTAGTAATATTGTTTTAATTTTAAAGACATGTAAGCAAATGGCAAAATTTCTTAAAATATAACACACAAGAGAGCAACATCTCAGCTTTTCCAAAACAGACTACAGGCAGTGCCCGGGTTACGTACAAGATAGGGACTGTAGGTTTGTTCTTAAGTTGAATCTGTATGTAAGTCGGAACTGGTGTCCAGATTCAGCCGCTGCTGAAACTGATCAGTTTCAACAGCGGCTGACTGAGGCTTCACTCCTTACGGGAGCACAGGGCATCCTCCTTGCCCAGGGAACCAACAATTCTGTCAGCCTTTTCCAAAACAGACTACAGGCAGTGCCCGGGTTACGTACAAGATAGGGACTGTAGGTTTGTTCTTAAGTTGAATCTGTATGTAAGTCGGAACTGGTGTCCAGATTCAGCCGCTGCTGAAACTGATCAGTTTCAGCAGCGGCTGACTTGGGGACGCCTGGGGCAGAGCAGCTCGGGTGCTGCTGGGTTGGTCCAGTAGCGCGGCCGCTCCCCCAGCAGACCAGGGAGACAGGGAGCAGCTTTTCTCGCCCTGGAGAAGGCGGGCAGTGGGATCAGGCGTCCCGCCGCTCCAGTCCTCCGGGGTGAGAAAATCCCCATTCGTAATTGCGTCGGATCCGCGTAACTCGGGGACTGCCTGTATTCAAATGGCAGTTTAATTGCACAGTACCCATTACTTTCCACCACCAATGCAGTACTCAGTATCCAAGACATCCAACTAATCAAGAGCATTTCAACTAACTGAACGAAGAACATTCTACAAGACTGCTCTCTTCCTACATCACCCTCCATTTTCACATACTACACTCTGTTCACTTTTACTTTTTTCTTTAAAGCTTTTCAATCTCCGGCCTCTGTTAAAACTGATAAGGAGAATGCCAATTAGTCCTAAATGAGGTGATTGTTATGTTTAATCCATAAGAACTTCAGTGAGACCATGGATTAAGAACACCCACCATGCTCATTTGTATTAGCAAATGAAGATTATCTGAATTAAATAACTACTGTAGCACCAAACATGCTTACCACAAAGTCTTCTATTTAACAAGAATGATATACCTTGTCATCAAGTTGTTTGTACAATTTAGCAATTTCTTCCTCACACTTTCTTCTTTCAGCATCAGTAAAATTACCAATCACTCCAATTGTAGGAGCTGGTTTATCATTATTGACAGTAACATCCTTATCCAGTGCAAAAGCTTCCAAGTTGGCTTTCTCTTTGTCAAACTGCTCTTCAAATGGTACAGTCTCCCCTTAAGTAAAAAGATTTTAAAAATATGTTCTCTTATCACTGTTAATAGTAGAAATGCCTTTCAAAGAAAAATAATCCTGAAAAGTTAATTAGATAGTCCCTAGTTATGATAGATATTAGTTAAATGGTTAATAAAATATTTCAGAGAGTTTAATGTCTGTCATACACAGAAAGTCAGACCAGACAGGCTAAAGGTTTTATCCTGCCTTAAATTTCACCCAGTTAATTTATGAGCCCCATAACTCTTATGCTGTAGTCAAATAAGTTAGGCTAACTCAGGCATACCTTTCAGAAAGGGATCTAGCCTTTATATGAAAAACTGAGAATCCACCAATTCCTATGGTAGAGTTTGAACCTCTAACATCTGGACACTCTGGTTCAGCAACATTCGTGGTACTAGATGCTGGACCAGAGAGCCCTGGCTGGCCAGCTTCAGAAGTGCAGCCCTAGCCAGGGACAGAGGCAGTAGGGTTGGCAGTGGGGAATGCAGCCCCAGGCTGGCTCCAGGAGAGGTGGAGCTCGGGCTGGAGGCAGCAGGGCCAGCGGTTGCACTGTGGGGGGTTATATGCTATTTTAATAGCATATTTCAAAATTACGCAACCCTAGTTTTCAAAAACCATTAACGTGCCTATAAGTTTGCTCCCAGTTAAAACTGTTAGCAAAATCTGATAGCAACATGTGAACTGAACTGGAAAAATAGATTTGTCAATGTCTATATTATATAAGGATAAAAAACAGTTTCTCTCATTTAGACACTTTCAACTTCTACCACAACTAACTTTTAAACTTTAATAAACTCAATATACTGATTCTTATTTGGAAAAGAATAGCAGCTAATAGGTCTACAAAATGCAAAAAACAAGTGCAATACTAAAGCGGTAACCCAGAACTAAGTATCGTTATGTTTATAACAAGCCATGAAATGCAAAGCGAAAGATGAGAGTTCAGATTAACACTGCAGTTTATGAATTTATCAGTTCTTGATATATCCATTTTTAAAAATTTTACAGGGGTGCATACAGGCAGTCCCCGGGTTACGTACAAGATAGGGACTGTAGGTTTGTTCTTAAATTGAATCTGTATGTAAGTCAGAACTGGCATCCAGATTCAGCCGCTGAATCTGGACACCAGTTCTGACTTACATACAGATTCAACTTAAGAACCCCAGGCGTCCCCAAGTCAGCTGCTGCTGAAACTGATCAGCAGCTGATTCCAGGAAGCCTGGGGCAGAGCAACTCTGTCTCGGGCTTCCTGTAGTCAGCCGCTGGTCAGTTTTAGCAGCGGCTGGATCTGGA